GGCGATTCCTCAAGGACCTAGAAATAGAACTCCCATTTGACCCAGCAATCCCATTACTGGGTATATATCCAAAGGATTACAAATCGTTCTACCATAAAGACACATGCACACGAATGTTCATTGCAGCACTGTTTACAATAGCAAAGACCTGGAAACAACCCAAATGCCCATCGACGATAGACTGGATAGGGAAAATGTGGCACATATACACCATGGAATATTATGCAGCCATCAAAAACGATGAGTTTGTGTCCTTTGTAGGGACATGGATGAACCTGGAAACCATCATTCTCAGCAAACTGACAGAAGAGGAGAAGATCAAACACCGCATGTTCTCACTCATAGGTGGGTGTTGAACAATGAGAACACATGGACACAGGGAGGGGAGCACTACACACTGGGGTCAGTTGGGGGAAAATAGGGGAGGGACGGTGGGGGGTGGGGAGCTGGGGAGAAATAGCGAGGGGATAAATGCCAGATGTAGGTGATGGGGAGGAAGGCAGCAAATCACACTGCCACGTGTGTACCTGTGCAACAATTTTGCATGTTCTTCACATGTACCCCAAAACCTAAAATGCAATAAAATAAATAAATGGGGAAAAATATATATATATATTTATAACAAAGTTAAAGGGTCTGTTAATTCTGATATTTTTCTTTACTAATCATTTTTGATTTTTTTCTTTGAATTATTGAACAGGGAAGATACTTAAGTATAGAAGATTTTTGCTCTAATTTGAGTGAAATAAAAGTTTATTAGTGTGAGGCAAACATAACTCATTTGAGGATATAGTTTGTGTTGGATATGTGGTTTCTGAGGCATTTTGACTTGTCTTTTTAAATGCTTTATCTTTTTCTTTAAAGATTTATTTCAATAAAACTAATTGGGACCACCAGTATTTCACTAGGACCTGGGTAGTACTTGGCAGAGCTGCAGCAATCCTGCTGTGTTTTATATAACGTGCATCCTTGGGCAGGTTGTCCTTAAATCTTACACTGTGGTGAAGGGATGATTTTTTTGTAATGCTGCAGTAGAGTTGAACTACTTAGCTCTGTTCTTATCTAGTATATCTAATAAATGTATCATATTATTTCCACATAGGGGAAATAAGGGAGTACTTTTCTTTTTATATTTCTATGCTTAAAATTCTCTTTCCTAGTCAAAAAATGCCCAACTCTGTGTCTGCTTTCTGCTTGTTAAGGTTTTTTTCCCTGACTTTTCTTGGGCTAAAGACAGGCTTTTTCAATTATGCTGTCATCATTAACAGCATAATTATGCAAGCATATTTAACGCTGTTTAATTTAATATGTAATACATATGGTAATTGTGGGGCAATACCCACAACAACTGTAGTTTCTTACTTGGCCATGAGAATGCTTTTTTAAGTTCCACTCTGGCAAGTCTTGTCATATCAAAAGATATTGCAAAGAGGGATTCCCTTTGGTGTTTAATCTTCCACTTAGAAAATACCTATTGCAGATTATGTCAGGCGTGCCGGGTAGGGCTGGATCTCCGGACTGGAAGCTGGGCGCTTCCTGTGGGTGTTCGCTGTTCAGAATCTCTCCACCGGGTTTTAGAGTTCGGACCTCATGGCAGAGATAATTCAGGAACGCATAGAAGAACGGCTCTCAGAATTGGAACAGCTGGAGCGCATTGGACTGTTCAGTCATGTGGAGATTAAGGCTATCATTAAGAAGGCTTCCGATCTAGAGTACAGAATCCAGTGAAGAACCCCTTTCAAGGAAGACTTTATCAATTATGTTCAATATGAAATTAGTCTTCTGGATCTGATCCAGAGAAGAACACGCATTGGATATTCATTTAAGAAGGATGAGATTGAGAATTCTATTGTACACCAGGTACAAGGTGTTTTCCGATGTGCCTCAGCAAAATGGAAAGATGATGTTCAACTTTGGCTCTCCTATGTGGTTTTTTGTAAGAAGTGGGCTGCTAAAACTCAACTTAGCAAGGTATTCTCTGCCATGTTGGCCATTCATTCCGACAAACCAGCTTTGTGGATTATGGCAGCCAAATGGGAAATGGAAGATGGATTGTCTTCAGAAAGTGCAAGGCAACTATTTCTTCGGGCACTGCGCTTTCATCCAGAGTGCCCAAAACTTTATCAAGAATACTTTAGGATGGAGCTGATGCATGCTGAAAAACTGAGGAAGGAAAAGGAAGAATTTGAAAAAGCCATCATGGACATGGAGAATCCTGATTATTCTGAAGAAATCCTTAAGGGCAAGTTGGCACGGATCATCTACAAAAATTCTGTAAGCATAATTAAAGGTGCAGAATTTCACATGTCACTGCTTTCAATTGCACAGCTATTTGACTTTGCCAAAGATCTACAAAAAGAAATTTATGATGACCTTCAGGCCCTACACACTGATGATCCTCTCACTTGGGATTATGTGGCAAGGCGAGAATTAGAGATTGAGTCACAGACGGAAGAGCAGCCTACGACGAAACAAGCCAAAGCAGTAGAGGTTGGCTGGAAGGAGGAGAGGTGCTGTGCTGTATATGAAGAGGCAGTGAAGACTCTGCCCACAGAGGCCATGTGGAAGTGTTACATCACCTTTTGCTTAGAACTATTTACCAAGAAGACAAATAGTGGATTCCTCAGAGGGAAGAGGCTGGAAAGAACCATGACTGCATTCAGGAAGGCACATGAACTTAAGCTTCTGCCAGAATTCCAATACAAGCAGTTGATTAAGTCCTTGCTGAGTCATAACTTCCTGAGAGAAGCTCTAGAGGTGGCAGTAGCTGGAACTGAATTGTTTAGAGACTCTGGGACAATGTGGCAGATGAAGCTGCAGGTGCTAATTGACTCAAAGAGCGCTGACATAGCCATGCAATTTGAAGAATACTTTGTGCACCTCAAACCCCAGGTTTGTCTGTCATTGTGGATTTCTTGGGCAGAGTGGAGTGAAGGTGCCAAAAGCCAAGAGGATACTGAGGCAGTCTCTAAGAAAACTCTGTTAGCTGTCATTGGTGCCGACTCAGTAACCCTGAAGGATAAGTACCTGGATTGGGCTTATCGAAATGGTAGCTACAAAAAGGCCAGAGCTGTGTTTAAAAGTTTACAGGAGAGTCATCCATTTTCAGTTGACTTTTTCAGGAAAATGATTCAGTTTGAAAAGGAGCAAGAATCCTGCAATATGGGAAACATAAGAGAATATTATGAGAGAGCTTTGAGAGAGTTTGGATCTGCAGATTCTGATCTTTGGATGGATTATATCAAAGAAGAATTGAACCACCCCCTTGGTAGACCTGAGAACTGTGGACCGATCTGGTGGCGAGCGATGAAAATGTTGCAGGGAGAGTCAGCAGAGGCATTTGTAGCTAAACATGCTATGTATCAGACTGGCCATTTGTGAAGAGGAAGAATACAGCCAGCTTTGTGAAATAGTACTGCAAGCAAGTCCTGTAGGCAAATTTGTATTATGAGTCCATCTGAATTTGCTCAGTGATGGCAGACAAGATGGCTGTCTGGTTTCGAGATACACTTTAATTTTATGTTAGCTTGTTAGTCTTTTTTAAAAATTAAAAAAAAAACTTGTGATAAAAAATGAAAATACCTATTGCAGTTAGAATTAATCTTGTAGTATCCATCTTTGTATTTTGAAGATAATAAGGTTTGAATTAAATTGATATACACAGAAGGGAACCCAATTTTTTGATCCAATGTAAATTATACATGAGATAATCCACAGTTATTCATTGTGGAATTGTTGAGACTATGAAAGACTCATTGTCTTTGTATTCAGCTCTTCCTTAAATACTGTAACAATACCCCCACCTCTGCTTGCTTGCTTTCCCTTCCCTCCAATGACAAAGAAAATGAGAAATTTAAAAAATATATAATATAAAATAAAATAAATAAATAAAAAATAAAAAATAAATTGACAACCTAATGTCATACATCAAGGCATTAGAGAGACTAAAACAAAACAAACCCACCCCCATTATTCACAACTAGGCAGGCAACACCTGCTAGAAAATAAACAAAGAGCAGAACAGAACTAAATAAAACTGAATCAAAAAAAAAAAACACAAAAGATCAATGAAGTAAAAAATTGGCTCTTTGAAAAAAGAAACTAAATTGATAGACCATTACCTAGATTAACCAAGAAAAGAAGAGAAAACATTTAAATAAGCTCAATAAAATTAAAAAATGGTGAAATTACAACCAACACAAAAAAAATATACAAAATCATTTGAAATTACTATGAGCACATCTATGCACAAAAATTAGAAAATCTAGAGGGAAAAGAGCCAAGCTAGCAGACTAAAACAGCTCATGTGTGCTGCTGTTATGGAAAGAAAACCAGAGCTAGTGAACCTGAGCCTTCAGGCTGATCACCTGAGAAACCATGCCAGGATTTATCATGGCAGCAGGGAAACACAGAAGAGAGAGTAATGAAGCTGGACACCAGCCTGTCTCACCTCAGCACAGGGCCAGAAGAACCTCTCCAAAATGAGAAAGGGTAAGTGGCAGAGATCCCCAAGGGAATTCACAGTCTTCACAGGGACCTGTGCAAGACTGGGAATGAGAAAATTACCATGTCCTGCCCCCTTACCTCCCCACCATGATTTTAGACTGAGGCAGAGAGCTACTCAGACATTTTGTGGGGGCAACTCCTGAGTACAATCATATCCCCAGTGGCTTTGGGCCCCAGAGGATACCAGCACTGGTGCCTCGGCCCCAGTATACATTGTAGTTGTGGTGCTAGGGAGCACTAACACTGCTTCACCACCACTAGCCAACCAGAGCTCAGTGTCAGCTCTGGCCCAGCAGTTCTGCTTTGGCTCAAATTCAGTAGCAACCTCTCCCCCTTCCACCACTGGTAGCTAGCTCATAACCACTTGCTAGAGCCCCTAACCCAGTGATCCTAATCAGGTAAACTCAGCTGAAGAGCACCGCCTACTGTTGTCACATGAAACACCTGGATGGCAGGGCATGAACTCCATCCCCACTCCCATGGCCCTACTGTTTGTAGCCAGGCAGTCAATGTCTTGCAGAGCCTTTGGCCCAGTGACCCAGTTGTTGTGTGAGCTCAGCTGGAAGATGCAGCTCCTTGTTGTCACAGTAAACATCAGAAGGCAGAGCATGAGGCCCAATCTGCCCATGCCACTGGTAGCCTAGCAGGCAACCTCTTCCAAAGCTTCAAGCCCAGCACTCTTGCTTCTTTGTAAACTCACCTGGAGGATGTAGCTTTCTATTGTCATGAGAAGCACCCCAACAGTAGGGCAAGAGACTCCACTCACCCCACCACTTGTAGCCAGGCAAGCAGTGCCTGATGGAGCCCCTGGTCCAGTGGCCCTGATTCTTTGTGAGCTCAGCTGGAGGATGCAGCTTTCTGTTGTCACAGGAATCACCAGATGTCACAGCATGAGTATCCACCTACTCCTGCCACTGGCACATGAAATTTGCTAGGGGTTCTAGACCAGAAGCCTTGCTTCTTTATTAACTCAGCTGCAGGACACAGTTTCCTGTTGTCATGGGAGACATCTCTATGGCACACCATGAAACCCCACCTACCCCTGCCTTGGTAGTCAGGAAGACAACACCTGCTAGAACCTCTGGTCCACTGATGCCACTTCTGTGTGAGCTCAGCTGGAGGATGCGTCTTTCTCATATCATGGGAAAAACCTAGATGGCAGACCCATCCATGCCACTGGTAACCAGGTGGGTAATGCCTCATAGAGTTTCTAGACCAGCAGGCTTTTTTCTGTGTCAGCTTGGCTGAAGGATTCAGCTTCCTGTCTTCCTGAGAAACACCTGGATGATAGGACATGTAACTATACCCACCCCCATTATTCATAACTAGGCAGGCAACACCTGCTAGAGCTTCTAGCCCAGCAATTATATGTCTAAGTTTGCCAGAGTCTGCAATTCCCTGATGTTCTGGAAATAGCCAGACGGCAGAGATGACAACCCAATCAACCTGCTGTAGCCAGATGAGTTTTTAACCCAGCAAACCAAATTCCACCTGAGGTCTGTGGGTGATACAACGCCACCTTTCCCCAGGAAGCACATGGACAGCAGATTAGGGTCAATCTGCCAAGGACATGACTTGTCAACAAAGTGCAGTCCCAGCATGAGGGAGCCTCATGGATGAAAATGCCCAACAAAAGCAACCAAAAAAAGGCAGACGTGGAAACAGTAATTGAAAGGGGCTCCTCCAAGATCCAAAACCAGACTATAATTGAAGCTAGTTAAGCAAACCCATCTTATTCCATAACCAAACCCCCAAGATCATCAGAGAAGAAAAAGACAAAACAAACTATCCAAAAAACTGCATCTTTAAAGACTGAACAAACATTAGCCTAAAAGTCAGAAAGAACCATCACAAAAACTCTGACAACTCAAAAAGTCAGAGTGCTTTTCCCTCCCCTCCAAAAGACTACATAAGCAAAGGAGAAGATTCTTTCAAAACAAACAAATGCTGAAGGAATATGATACCACCAGATCTGCTTTATAAGAGCTCTTGAGAAAAAGCACTAAACACAAATTTTTAAAAAGACCATTACAGGCGACTACAAAAATATACTTACTTACACAAATCAGTGACACTATAAAGCAACCACACAAACAAGATTGTATGATAACCAGCTAACAATATGATGAGAGCACGAAATTCACACATATTAATACTAACCTTGAATGCAAATGTGTTAAATCCCTTCTATTAAAAAGCACATAGTGGCAATCTATTTAAAAAAAATCTAATACTCATAGAATGCTGGCTTCAGGAAAACCATCTCACATTCAATGATATCCATAGGCTCAAAAGAAAAGGATGGAGAAAAATCTACCAAGCAAATGGAAATTATAAGATAAGGCAAGTTTTGCAAATCTAATTTTAAACAAAACAGATATTAAACCAACAAAGATCAAAAAATAAAATGAAGGGTATTACATTACGCTAACGGACTCAATTTCACAAGAAGAACAAACTATTATAAATGTATATACACTCAACTAGGAACACCCAGACTTATAAAGTAAGTTCTTAGAGGCCTACAAAGAGACTTAGAGTCACAAACAATAATAGTGAAAGTCTTCAATACCCCGTTGAGAGTATTAGACAACAAATTACCAAGGAAGATAATTTACAAAAAGATTCAGACGCTAAGTGAAACACTTGACTCAATGGACCTAAAAGATATTTACAGAACTCTCCGGACAAAGACAACAGAGCATGCATTTTTTTTTATTGCCACATGGCAAATACTCTAAAATTGGCCAGGCATTTGAATATAAAATAATTCTCAGCAAACTCAAAAATAAATAAAATAAACAAACAAATAAATAAATAAAATTATAGCAACCATACTCTGAGACCACAGTGGAATAGAAACAGAAATAAAGGCTAAGAAAATCACTCAAAACCACATTACTACATAGACATTAAATAACATACTCCTGAATGACTCTTTGGTAAATAATGAAATTAAGGTGAAAATCAAGAAGTTATTTACATCTAATGAGAATGAAGGTAACACAACATACCAGAATCTCTGGGACACAGCTGAGACAATATTAAGAAGGAAATTTAAACTAATTGTCCACATTAAAAATTCTTTTAAAGTCTCAAATTAACTAGCTAACAAGGCAACTACAAACAGAGAAATAAGAGGACACCAACCCCAAAACTAGTAGAAGACAGGAAAAACAAAAAATCAGAGCTGAAATGAGGGATACTGATACATGAAAATCTATAAAATTGTCAGAAAATTTAACAGTCAGTCCTTTGACAAAATTACTAAAGTATATAGACTACTAGCTAGACTAGTAAGAAAAGAGAGGAAATTAAAACAACATAATTTAAAATGACAAAGGGGACATTACCACTAATCACACTGAAATACAAATGATCATTAAAATCTATGAACAACTTTATGCAGACAACTAGAATACCTAGAACAGATCAACAATGAACTCCAAACTTTAATTAGTAACAAATAGCCTGCCAACTCAAATAACCTATGATCAGGTGAATTCCCAGCCAAATTATGCCACATGTACAATGAAGATCTGGCATTATTCTTACTGAAGCTGTGTCAGAAAATTGAAAAAGAAAAACTGAGTCCAAACTCATTCTATGAGTCCCAATTCATTGCATCATACTAAGAATCTGGCAAAAATACAACAACAACAAATTTCAGGCTGATAGCCTTAATAAATATGAAAGAAAAAATCCTCAATATAATACCAGAAAACCGAATTCAGCAGCACATGAAAAAGCTATCCCACCACAATCAAGTAGGCTTTATCCATGGCATGTAAGGCTGGTTCAACATTCACAAATGTTGTATGATTGAATCACAAATCAATAAATGTGATTCATCATATAAACAGAACTAAAAACAAAAACCACATAATTATCTTAATAGATGCCAAAAAAGACTTTGATAACATTCAAAATTCCTTAATGTCAAAAACCCTCAATAAGCTAGGCATTCAAGAAACATACTTTTTTTTCCCCATTTATTTATTTTATTGCATTTTAGGTTTTGGGGTACATGTGAAGAACATG